TAAGAAGATATACAGCTGTAATCTTTGCGATTTTTATAATATTACAGTGGCAGATTGGCAGGTGAAGCTCTAACTAAACACATTTTTTCATTTCAAATTGTGTTTCAATTTGTCCCATTTTAATTCAAAGACTTGATTTTTCCATTAAGGGACTTCATGCAGGGGCAGCGGCACACAATACAACCAGAAACACACACACACACACACACATCTGAGTGAGTTTTAGCAGCAGAGAATCCAAACCCTTTTTTTTGTTAGATAATTATGTATGAATGATGGAAAGAGATGCACAGACCTGCTGTTGAACTATACATGCACAGATCAGGTTCCATTCTTGCAGTCTAGAAGACAGTGTTAATTTGATAATGTTAAAATTGTTTATATTTTGCTATAAAGATCCTGAAGCTCGAGGATTTTAGTGCCAGTGCAACACTCAGTGCAAGGTTTAGTGAGATTTTTTCGTGGTCAAACAACAGTGACTATAATACTGGCAGAAATGAGCAGAGAGCAGACAGGAGGTGCGGTAGGCATGGGAAGTCACAAAGAGGACATACCAAATGTCCATGTTGTAGTGTAGTATTAGATGATACACAAGAGCTAACGTCTATAGAAGAGGCTGCAGCAAAGACAGTCAAGCAGAAAGAGAAATAATGAAATAATGAGCAGGAGAATTACAGGCATCATGGACAGGAAGGAGAGTAGATGAGGAAAGCAGACAGACAGAGACATGCAGAAACAGGAGGAGAGACAGACCGACAGAACAACATAAAAAAGGGGGAAAAAACATGCACAAAGATGATCTTTTAATATTAAGAGTGGCTGGGACAAGTTGGGGAAGAATGTGCATATTCAGCATATGTCAGCCGGAGTCACAGAGTGCGTTCTGCAGCATCAGCTAGCTAATGCCATAAAGAGCTCAGCAGCTACAGGCTGTACTGAGGTTTCTATTGGGTCAAAATCTTAACAAATTATTAAGAAAGTACCACGAATAGCATCTGCACCTCTTAAGAAATCCCTCATATCAGGTTGTTTCAGTAGTTCTGTGTCAAAAATAGATCATTTGGGGCGTGCTGATAGTCTAGAAGACGCATACCATGTTAGAGCAACCTCTATCCCTCAACAGTCAGTTTCTCCATCACCACTATCAATAAAGGCTCGAAAATTACAAAAACATACTGTGAAATTGGGTCATTTTAAACAAATATGACCCTGAGGTCACAGCAACATTTCACCTACTTATCCTTGCCTTGCCCTTGCATAATCAACATCTTTACCGTCCAGACACGAAATGACATCATGCCAAGTGTACTTGCATATGTTTTCTTAACATGGGGCCAAGTCGCGGGGTAGTTAAAGGTGCTCGGAGGGGGTTGAGTTTCTTGTCAGAAGTGGTGGAAGAAGTACTCAAACATGTTACAATACCACAGTACAGAAATACTCTGTTACAAGTAAAAGTCCTGCTTTCAAAACTTTACTCAAATAAAAGTACAAATGTATTTGTAAAATGTACTTAAAGGACCAGTGTTTGGGCGCCCTGATAGCTCACCTGGTAGAGCTGGCACCACATGTGCCAAGGCTGAGTCTTAGGTTAGAATCCGAACTGTGGCCCTTTGCTGCAAGTCATCACCTCTTTCTACCCCTTTCTTCCTGTCTATCCAGCTATCCGATCCAATAAAGGCATAAAGCCCCCCCATATATATATATTTTAGAGGACCAGTGTGTAAGATTTAGTGGTATCTAACAGTGAAGTTACAGATTGCAACTAACTGAACAGCGCTGGTATCTGTATTTTACGACCTGGGAGTGAAAACAGACTGTGAAGTGTGCAAGAGAAGAACATGAACCTTGTGAAAAACACGGGAGGCCCTATCTACAGCCAGTGTTTGGTTTGTCCATTCTGGGCTGCTGTAGAAGTATGGCAGACTCAATGGAAGGCGACCCGCAACGTCTGTAGATAAAAACAGCTCATTCTGAGGTAACGAAAACACAACGATTCCTATATTCAGGTGATTATACATTACAAAATAACTTTCCACTTTCAGGGTCTACTCCTACAATTCTAAGGCCTTCATCACATCTTATGCCAAAGTGAAGCTAAAAATACAATGCTACTACAGCTGGCATTATTTACCAGCAGCTTGGACAGAAGCACATCTGATGTACCAAATGAAATGTGACTCGTTTTATTGCAGCTATGGAAATTTTCACTGGGTGCCTTGGAAAATCAATAGCACTCACCACAGTCTTGCTCTGTTTCAGACATGGTTAGCTGCCTGGGAATGACTTAACCATTTTAGTTGCTTACATGACTGACAAACAAATGTGGCGATACAGTCTGCCCCACCACCGCACCCACACAGTTTCTGATGTACATGTAAACCTTTCCCAAAAATACGGGTTGCTAATTTTGTGTTTTCCTCCGTGTCTCCTGCCCGTTTTAAACTGTCTTCAACAGAGGAGGAATTATGGCTTTGAATCCGCGCCAGGCATTCCTTCATGTGACTGTTAAGTGTGATTTATGAGTGACAACAGAAACACACAGAGGGAGAGAGAGGGGGGGGGGCA